GGTCATCCCATAGTGGAAATCAATTCATCATGGCTATATATATATATAACCCATGGGTATATACATATATAATCATGATATGTATATGTATATGTATATGTATATGTATATGTATATGTATATGTATATGTCTGGTCAAATTACTTTAATTCTTACCTCGTCTCGCTCGTGTCTTAATTTGTTCCCCATGATTACTGTCCTCGTTCGCTAATTTGCAGGTGCAAATTAAGGCTTTACCTCATTAATTCGAAGGAAGAAAGTAGCTTGTGGGCCTTCTTTCCAGGGTCCAACCCCAAGGAAAAAAAACTTTTCAGCTTCCGAAAAGTTTTTTTCCACGATCCACGGTCTCTTGCAGGGATTTTTAAATCTGAGTCTGATCGGTCTTTGCGCTTCTTGCGCTTGGGTGGTGACATCTCTGACATTATGGCAGAGATGCAATGCTCTTCTGGAACAACTCTGAATCCTACTGCTTCTGCAGCCGTCAACCCACGAAGCGGGCCTCTGGCGATAGAAAATAAAACTTTTTGGGGCCTGAAAAGTTTTTTTTTCCTTCCTTGCCTGCTGACCGGCCTCTGGCGATAGAAAATAAAACTTTTTGGGGCCTGAAAAGTTTTTTTTCCTTCCTTGCCTGCTGACCGGCTTCTGGCGATAGAAAATAAAACTTTTTGGGGCCTGAAAAGTTTTTTTTTCCTTCCTTGCCTGCTGACCGGCCTCTGGCGATAGAAAATAAAACTGTTTGGGGCCTGAAAAGTTGTTTTTCCTTCCTTGCCTGCTGACCGGCCTCTGGCGATAGAAAATAAAACTTTTTGGGGCCTGAAAAGTTTTTTTCCTTCCTTGCCTGCTGACCGGCCTCTAGCGATAGAAAATAAAACTTTTTGGGGCCTGAAAAGTATTTGTTTCCTTCCTTGCCTGCTGACCGGCCTCTGGCGATAGAAAATAAAACTTTTTGGGGCCTGAAAAGTTTTTTTTCCTTCCTTGCCTGCTGACCGGCCTCTGGCGATAGAAAATAAAACTTTTTGGGGCCTCAAAAGTTTTTTTTCCCTTCCTTGCCTGCTGACCGGCCTCTGGCGATAGAAAATAAAACTTTTTGGGGCCTCAAAAGTTTTTTTTTCCTTCCTTGCCTGCTGACCGGCCTCTGGCGATAGAAAATAAAACTTTTTGGGGCCTGAAAAGTTTTTTTTTCCTTCCTTGCCTGCTGACCGGCCTCTGGCGATAGAAAATATTCTTTTTGGGGGCCTGAAAAGTTTTTTCCCTTCCTTGCCTGCTGACCGGCCTCTGGCCCCCCAAAAAGTTTTCTAGCCAAGCCCAAGCATGCAACAGAACCAATGCAAGGCTACCTCGTCGAGGTCGGCTAATTCTGATAAGCAAATTAAGGGCTGACCTCGCTAATTCCTGCAACCTGCCTCGTTGCCTCGGCTGTCCTCGCTATAATTTGTGCAGATATGTATATGTATATGTATATGTATATGTATATATATATAATAAATCCCTTTGAACATTGTGAGATGAGCATCCCCAATTTTACCAGGTGTAAAAGTTGAATCCAACTGTTGACCATGGCACAGATGGTGAAAATCGATGGGGAGATACGGGGGGAAGAATCCCAAATGGACATGTTTTTTTTGGGACGACTCTTTGGGACACTTATCAAAAATCCGGATAAATCCATGTCTAGTCTAGCCAATGACAGCCGAATGACAACCACGAACTAGAAAAAAGGTTCGCATCCTCCAGCAAATCCACATAGATATCCGAAACCCGTGTTTTTTTTTGGAAATGAAATAAGGACATTATCTATAATTTGCGGATTATCAATTTATCATCATTTATCTATGTTAATTTGCTGGAGGGTACTATCTCGTTCACATGATATCCAAATCAGCAGCATTCAAAAACTCTCCATCAATTCATGCAATCTGGTTGGTTGTGAATGGGATTCCCAGTTCATAGTTGAAGATCATCCCCAATATATTGGATAGCATAGTCCCTGAACTAATCATCAACCAACCATAATTCAACCATCATGTACCAATACTATCCCTATATTTGTTGATCATCAGAATCCCTTTGAACAAATGATGCTTAAATCCCTTTTTGATCCGATTATTTTGTCATGGAAAACCACAAGCAAAACATGTCAACAAAAATGCCACCGGCATCACCAAATTCCGCCTTAGTGCCACCGGTATCACCATCCGTCTTGTCCTGCGGTAGTACGGAGTGAAAGGTAAAATATGACTGGGATCATAGGGGTGTCCCCCAACAGATTCTGAAAGTGGTATTTCCAGGATCTTAGTTCGATGATACCCTCTGGTAATTTAACGTAGCTATTGAACATGACCATTAATAGTGGATTTTCCCATTAAAAATGGTGATTTTCAATAGCTACGTTAAATTACCAGAGGGTACATTTGCTGAGCGAAAAAAAAAACAGGTGCCCCAGTTTATCTATGACTGGGGAAGTGCCAAGAATTGGGGACTTTGAAAACGGGGGCTGGGATGACTTTAGCACAGCCACATAGATCGGACAGGGGGACTGGATGCACCAACCCGATTCCAACTCCGACGATCTCCTTGTCTTTCTCATCCTGCAGGGCTGCAACAAGAACTCGACCCATCCCATTGAGTAGACTTAATTCCGCCACAAAGGGATGAAGGGGTAGGCTTTGCAAAACGCCACCGTTTTTTTCCAATGTATATGAAAATTTCCGGGACAACTGTACTTTCAGAATCTCCAAGTCATCTGAACCCAATTCGTAATGGTGTGAACAAAAATCCCCCCCATCAGTGATTTTTGCTGCTACTAAAATGGTAATCCCCAATGAAACATTATAGTGGTTTATCAATCCGGCTTGATACTGCACACATGAAATCGGTTGACGTTCAAATGAGCTGAGCAGAAAGTTCCTTTCGGACAGAACCTGGTGCTAGCGTCACACCACCCTGGATCGCACATGGAGTGGCTCAAACACGAATCACCACATTGATCAGGCATATGCTCGCTTTTCGCACAAAACCACCAAAAGTGTGGAGATATGACATACGGCTTCTTGTCGCGGAATCTATTTTGACTTTTCTTGTTATCATTCTGAACTTAGTTCATTAAAACAAATCAACGAGATCAACATGTATGACCAAGATTCTTCATGTTTGATCGCAAAAAGTTCATGAGTTACCGAGTTATCCTCTAGCTATTGAATAGCTATCGAATATGGTCCATTTATAGATGAGTTATCATGATTTACCTACAAATAATGATGATGATTTTCCATAGCGGTGTCAAATTACCAGAGGGTACGTTGCTCATGTTTCACAGGGGGGTTAGCCCTGCAGGGACTCATCAAGTCCTCCTCATCTTCCATGGCAGCCTGCAAATGTGGAAATTCTCATTTACTTTGGAGCATCAGATGTCGGCATATCGATGTACAGTATATCAAACACATGCGTCTGAACAAAACCTTACATAAAGGAAGTGTGAATGTATACATATAGTAATATACATGTATTTAGATTTCGTATACGCATATATAAACAAGATAATACGCAATATACAGATGTTACTGTACTGCTGAATTCTTACTAGATGATACTAGATGTGTATTTTCCAAACATATGATCCCATACAAAAGAGAAATCAGTATTCCTTCTGCATCCATTTAGCCATTCTTTACAAAGGTGCAAGCCGCACACATTTTCACGGACTGACAGGCCTCTGCTGGGTCACTACAACTATGATGTGCAGAAATTGGAAGACTAAAACATTGAGCAATCCAAAATGGGCAATTCAAAAAGCCATCGCGGAGCAGCCATGAAAATATGTATATATATATACACAAACATATACATAGTAGCGGCTTTTGAAGACTTCAAGCTTCGACCCCTTCAGCCATAGAGCTAATTGATTCTCTATCAGACTCCCAGGTCTCCGGGTTTTGGATATTGCTCAATCGTCCCCAGGACAGAATGGGACACAGAGCCATGAACTTTCTTCCAGCCGGCCTTAGGCCAGGGGGAAGTGGATGGGTTTTTCTGCCAGCCTTTTATTCCTTTGATCTATGGATCGGTTGTGAGTACAGAGCCTCTAATACTCGAAACTTGGATTTTTGTAGGGATTCAGCCGACTTTGAGTCGTGACCCCGCAATACTAAGTTGAGGGTGTATCTAACCACCAACCACCAACAACCGAGCCGGACGAATCTTAAGCGTCTCTAGGGGCTCACAGTTCACTGGTTCGTTGAATCCCCATCCGCACGTCACACACCACGTGTCGGCATCCCATATGCTGGTTGGTTTCTGTAGAGCTAAATCCTGATTACATAGTGGGGTAGCAGTCGCCATAAACAAACAACCGTCCACAGTCCCACTGTACATATGTATATCACATACAAGCACCGTACTTAAGTCACATCAGGCGGGGAAAGTCACATCATCCCCATGGCACGGCGGCGATACAGAAAAGTCACATCAGGTAGTGGAAAGTCACATCAGGGAAAAAGAATCACCATGGCACAGCCTGTTTCGTCTGTAATTGGAGATTTAGTTAAAGGTAGCCGAAGCATTGCGCACAGCGATGACTTTGAAGGGCACAAGTTAATACAAACAAATTCTCGGCAGCTAATCCTATTGGTTTTGAATATATTATATTGATGTCCTGCGTCGCCGGACCAAATCAAACCCCTATTGGTACAGCCTCAAATTTCTTGCAATGCAAATGGGTTAGCTGTAGCCAATCCTATTGGCAGGGCTATGATCTAGGATGATATACGACTTAACGCTAGCGCTAGTAATATAATAAATAAAACATACTATAAACGTAAGGTAACATAATTTTGCATTGCATCACACTGTGCATTAACATTACATTGCATAGTCGCATATATATATATAATGTAGTATAGATAGGAATAAGTACATATATATATAATAGATAGGTATATAAGTATATATATATATAGAATATAGATAGGTGTATGTATGTATGTATGTATGTATGTATGTGCACCATATACACGCAAGAACGTATAGAAACCTGGCAGTTTTCTGAAATCTAACCGAACCGGGTCGGTCAGGGCCCATTTTACTAGGCTGGCTTTGCCAGTCCTAGGCAGAGTTCATCATGCTAGTCACTCCCAACATAGAATTCTTCACCTGCCAGTGACATCCCCGGAATCTCCCGGAAAAAGACATGGCCATCACACGTGGCTTGATGCTAACGTGGCTTGTAAAAAATATCGTCCCATTTCTTTGTTCTTTTTTTTTGTTTAGAAACAACATGGCTGGTACATGTCTCGCACTTATGACCTTTCGTCTCCAACCATCTTGGATTTGCTTAAGGAACCCGCACAAAAAATCTAAACATTCCCTATAGATTCCCCAGTCGTGGTGGATTTCCCATGGGGAACATGAAAAATCATAAAACATCACCTTAAACAAAGCCAGGTCTTACCAGAAATGGGGAGCATCAGCCATCCCAAATTGGACTTATCCTCATTGTCCTCGTTGGATTTGCCACATTGCTTCTGGATATGCACCCCTGGTAATCAAACATGGCTTGCTGGAAAATGCCTGACTTTTTAGATGAATTTCCAATTCAAGATATTTCAATGCACATTTGGGGGATTTGCTAGCCATGTTTGACACCGGACACTGTATTTCGGGATGTTTCGGGCATCCCCACCTTTTCCAGTAGACCTTCAATCTCGTCGAGATTCACCAGTTCCTTTATGAAATTCGTCGTTTCTGCTGGGGGGATCTGTGGACCGATGTAGTTCCGACAGCGGCCCTTCTTGTCGTAGCCCGTGGGAAAGGTGTGCAGCACCACATTGCGCAACATGGGCAGCACCAAGAGGATAAAAAAGGGAAGGCAAAGAAAGCCATGAACCACCTTGACCTCGGGATTTCGAGAACTGGGGATATGAAATGACATAATTATCCTAAATGGTGGTGAAAAATCATGGGAAAATCCCATCACCCGTTCATACTACACCCCCATGGTTAATGGTCCCGAAGGTATAAAATGGTGTAAATGCACTATTAAACCATGGTTTCTGGTGGGTGTTCAACGTTATGGGGATGGGATTTGTAGGGAAGCAGATCAAGAAGTATCATGACATATCCAAGAAATGAGAACACGTACAACTTAAGTTGTGTGCAGATACATACCAATATAGACAACATGTCTTTTGTCAGTTGAGTCAAAAGAATTTCCATTGCATGCCAACTCTAGCCGCTAGCCTGCAGCATGTAAGCATGTCTGGAAACACACCAGTTTGGGGAATCCCGGGATGCATTCCCATATGGCATACAATGATATACAATGCATTGCTCCATACACCCATGAGATACACATGTCATGGACATTCCACGATCCGCGACGAATTACACCTTTGCCTGGCCTTCTTCCAACTTTATGATGTGGTAATCAACCAAGAATTCATAAGCCATGACTATAAAAACTGGAAACCCCGAGAAAATATGAATAAACTGATGAAACTAGGAGTTGAGTAATCCCAGGCTATAGGCTTTCGAAGGGGTCTACCACGCAGCAGCCTCCAAATCTTGCTCCAGGGACGCATGTCTTGGTGCCCACGAACTGAATTGTTCTAGGATCCCTTGGTGCCGCGGCTGCAACTGGATGAGAGGGTGGACTTTTTGAAGTTTTATGGAATTCCTGGACCTGTTGATGGTTTGTCTCATTACACATGTCTAATAATGATAATGATAATTTATATGGTTGTCTCATTCATTATCATTCAAATCCCTTCCCCTGATGCAGCAACCCCCAAGAACCGGTTGTGTATTGGATCTCTTCAGATGGGGAGCTTTACTCTTCGGGCGATGGAGGTATTCAGCATGCTTCGTTTCTCCTAGCCTCGACATCGAAACATGCAATGCATTTCGTGCTTGAACTAGATTTATTGGAGCAGCACATGTTTGCAAGAGCAAAATTCGACCTTTTGGCCTTCGAACATCTTTGAGCCAGAAGAATCCAGAAACATCATTTGGATTCATTTGGGTTACCCTCTGGTAAACTAACATAACATAACTATTAAAAATCACCATCTTTAATAGGTAAATCAACTGTAAATGGGCCATTTTCTATAGCTATTTTCGATTTCTCCAAAATGGGGCACCCCTGAAAAACAATGAGTTTTCCATCATGTCAAGTCATCCAGGTACCAAATGGACCAAAGCTGGTACCGAGCTGCAAAATTGGCCAGGCTCCAGTTATTATATAGTTGGCTTATGACCCCATCTAAATATATAGATATATCATGATATATCCACCATAAATCTGAGTTGGTAGCAACCAACTAACGCCTTCCGGGGCCCCTTCTTGCACCCATCACGCTTGGAAAAACGAGGATCTCTAGGACGGCTATAACGACCATCGCGGTAATTCCGCATAAAGACAAGAAAAGATCGGCAAGGAGGAAGTACCGTAGCTTTCCCTCGCGGAAGGTCCTGAAAATCGGTGCTTGAGTCATATGAAAGATTATGAAAGTCAGGATCAACAGCTGATAGGCGCCCAGGCCTTGGTTGATGTAGCTAGGAGATCTCCAATTTCCCATATGTTTCCATATCCCATTGTGTCAATATGTATCGATTCTAGCCCACAGATCACCAGGTGAATTCCCCAGAGCAGGTCTTGATGGCAGAACTTGCTGCTTTGTCCAGGTTTGGAGGCCGTTTTTGCACCTGGGGCAAAAAAAGGGAGGCCGCCCAAGGGGTGCTGCAAGGGGATGTTCCATAAACTGGGAAAAGATCTATCTATCGATCTCTCGATCTTCCTAATTTATATACTTACCAAATTCACATATATATATAGATATATGTAAATATATATGTATATATTATGTGAACAAATGAATCCTTGTTCTGGATGTAGTTATGGATTTGCCATACCTGTTATGCTGGTATTACCGGACACTGATACGGCGTGGCAAGCGGAGCTCGGACTTTTCCTCGCGCATGGACTTGAGCCAGTACGGCGTCCCGACGTACAATGGAGTATGTACATCACAAGTGTCCTAGCGTTTAGTTCCCTTTGACACCCCCCATGCCCGTGGTATTCTTCGAACCACGGACACGAGAGAGGGAACTTTGAATTAGATTGGTTCTGCTACTTGAATTACGCCTATGTACATAAAACGTGCCATTCGGCTCCCCCTTCCCCACATACCCGACGGGAATAATGGTTCAGGGTTCGCCTACTCTCTGGCTGTCGATGCATCGGCGTTTCATCAAGCTGTACAACGCGAATTATTGCTAGCTAACATCTACTTTTCTACGTTGGCTAAGCTTGCCACTCACCCGTCGGGAGAAATGGATCACTTCGCTACCAAAGATTTACAATGCTAACTAACGAATTCACGTGCACATTGCAGAATTTCGTGCAGATTGGGAATATCAAAAGTCTTGAACCTAAGCGAATTAGTCTACTGCCTCGCTCAGAGTCCACTCAGTTGGTCTTTTCCTGATCATCTGTTCACAAAGACGATGCACATCTTGTAGTCCAGTGACCATTTTGACGGACAAAGGTAATGGGTTCACTGCTCACGGCGGACTTTCTTCCATTGAGGTGTTGATGGAGATTTCTCCCATCCTGCCGCACGTTTTGGAGCAGCTTTCGGCGATGAGGGCTTCGCAGGCGGTGCCTTTGATGGTTCATGGGATTTCGGCATAGCTTTAGCCTTTGGTGCGCTTGCCGATGAGGATGATGCTGAACCAGTGCCTTCAGGTTTCTGTGTAGGTTGTGCTGACGATTTGGCTTTCGCGTCTGCGGTGGCAAACTTGGAAGCGGCAGTATGTCCGACTGCTTTGAATACTTCACTTACCACTTCGTCGCCAAGAGTTGGAGCCATCTTCGTTTTCATCTCGGTCTTTCCCCTCTGCGCCTCTGCCTCAGCCAGTTGAATAGCATAAGCCATCTTGCTGACAAAGTTTTGAGGTAAATGGATGCCACATTGTTGGGCGGCAAAGAGTAGTTCCACTCTCTGTTCCTTCTCTCTCAGACTCAGATATACCGAGAAAGCTGGGAGTTCAATGCAGTTGGGGAAGCCGTGGCTCCCGGAGCGAAAGAAGGTGTATGATTCATGTTCTGGAAAGGTTCCTTTCAGCAGTCGTCGAAGAAAGTTGCTGATGGTCACTCGCATCTCCTGCTTCCCTTGGGCATCAGCCTGCATTCGGTTCATTGGCATGAGGAAACCTAATGACTCGGGAGTGTACCCGGCGCGTACCAAAAATTCCATCATCTTTTCATAGATCTCCAAGGTCTTGATGACAGGCATCATCATGTTTCTTGGTCGTCCAGAGTACATCTTCTCTCCCTCTGACCATGAGTTCCTTTTCCCTTTCTCCTGAAAGAGTTCATCCAATTCCAGCTCTGTCGGTCGCTTGAGGTTGCCATCCTGGTCTTCGCCTGTGTAGGGGCAGAAGTCGTCCAGGTCCAGCCGGACTCGCTTGGTTTCCGTCATCATCTCATAGTACTCCTCTGGGGTCAGAGTGACTCTCTGTTTATAGTAGAGCCTGAACATTGTGATGACCTTTGACATGACAGCATTGTCATACAAGTGAGCCGCGGCCTCGGAGACATCATTGTTGATAAGTCCGTCTTCTGGCATATCCTTGCTGCCGCTCTCAAGATTCTTAGTCCATGCTGGAAGTTTGGAAGAGGACTCATCTTCAGGTTCGACGTCCATTTCATCGTCGTCTTCTTCAACGATTTCGTCGTCTTCCTGTTGAGCTTCCTCCTCCTGATCCATTTCCTCATCATCGCCTTCATTGTAGTCGACCTCGTCAGGATTGAAGCCATAGTCGTTGGATTCAGATACGTTTTCTTGTGCTTGATTTACCGTATCCTTGAACAACGATTCTTCTTGTCGACGAACTTCTTCATCGAGCTCTTTCTTTGTGGCCTCATCTTCATCGTCTTCAGGAGCTTGTAGCCGATATGGACGAATTCCACAACTTTCAAGTTCCGTCCAGCAAACTAGACACACTGCTAGCTTTGTCGGCGTCTCGTTGAGACAGTGAGGACAATGGCGGCAACCTGAAGTTTGCACCCTTTTGCGTTCGACTATATAGTCAATCAGCTTGATGCGGGCCAGGTATTGTTCTTGTCCGCCAGGCTCGATGAGGTTGTTCTTGAACTGGTTGACGATGTTCATGGCATCCATGGCGGTTTCGTCAAACGGTTGGTCTTCGGCGTCGATGCACTGACTTGCAACTCTCAGGATGGACTCCTTGGTGGCTACCGTTCTTGATTTGATAGTTCCAGACCGGACTACCTGGTCGTCGCCCGACGGGACGAACAACCGGAGCCATGTCTTGTTGTATTGGTCCTTGCTTAGAGGATCGAACGTTGTACAAAGGACAATGTTTGCAGCAAACGACAAGATCACACACGCAACGATGTCGTTTGTTGTGACGCTGTCGTTTGTTGCCAAACATACATTTTGGCATTTTGATTTTTCAGGTGATTTTTCGCTGATACATGTTGAATTGTTATGAACCTATATAAGACATCTTACAATTAAAAAAATATTGTGGAACGAATGAGAAAATTTTATTTGCATACGGAAAAGGATCAGCACGAACGACGTAATTTATTTAAAATAGTATTGCAGATCGAACGACAAGATCCCACAAACGGAAAAGAGCAAAAGCAAACGACATCATACATGTAAAGGAAAGCTTTACGGAACAAACGGCAAGAGCCCACAAACGGAAAAGATCAAAAGCAAACGACATCATCCATTTAAACGAAAGCTTTGCGGAACAAACGGCAAGAGCCTACAAACGGAAAAGATCAAAAGTAAACGACATCATCCATTTAAACGAAAGCTTCGCAGAACAAACGGCAAGAGCTTACAAACGGAAAAGATCAAAAGCAGGCGACATCATCATGATCGATGCAAGTACAACTTGCTTTTTTGAAGAAAGATACAACGAAGAGAAACACTTGATTATCACATATCGGCTGAACAATAAAAATGCCAAAATGTGTGTTAAGAAACAAACGACAGCGGCACAACAAACGGCAAAGACGTGTGCTTGATCTTGGCAAGATATAAGTGGCGCACCGGGATGCAGTGGTGAAGCAAGCTTCGACGGGAAAATACAATTATCTTTGGCACAAGCCGCTGATGCTGACAATGCTGACACAGCAACTTTGAGACAGGTGAGACAGGCCCTTGCCTGATGCTAACATGGCACTTAACAGCTTTCAAACAAACCACTGTGATGCTGACACAGCAACAGCTTTGAAACACATGCTTCCTGCCAACACAACGGCTGGACAGAACAGACTAAGGCGCTGCAGGTCAAAGCAGCACGCTTGAGCCAAAAAAAAAAGTAATTCTTTTCTCCATGTTCGAGTTTGAGCGCCGGATTTCTAAGACAACCCATGAGTTATATATATATATATTATATATATGCATATATATATATGTATAAATATATATATGTATATATATATATAGATTGTTATATATTATATATATATATTACCAACTAACATTCAAGATTAGCGTGGCCCAAAAACAGTTCAAGTTGTTGGTTTAAAACGCTGCCCATACACAAAAAAAATGTGCATTCAGACTTCCCATCAAAGTGGTCCCAACAGAGAAAGCACCACGTGTGTGTCTATTACGTACCAAATGACGTTTTCTATTTATTCACCATGTGCTCCCATCCTTCTTACTGATGTTTAAGCCGGTGAAGGCCATCAAATGGCTAAGATGGTGCCTTGCGTTTGTGCATCCATATGCATCCCACTTGGTACATACATGGGAAAATTAATGAAGATTTTGGTACTCTTGGGGGATCTTGTGTCAAAAATTTGGGTTCGTATTTTTCATAGTCTTAAGTATGGGTATCAACCGTTTGCTGTGGGATGCACCCTGCAGCTCCGAGCATCTCCGAGCCAAAGCAAGGACCATTGACGTTTCTCACTGAAAGTCAATCCCCAAACTAGCGCCTAAAATCAAATAATATAGTGTGCAATTATATATATATATATAGACATATATATATATAAATTTATACATATAATATATATATATATATACATACATACATACATACATATATATATATGCTGTTCTATCATTGCATTTGGGGGACCCAGAGAGCAGTATAAGTAGAACATAGAGTCAGCATCTTTTGGGCTAGGTGTTGGGCTCCAATCTAAACTTCCAAGGATGGAGGAACAGAATAGCTATAGCAGTGGTCAAGCCAGGTGATTGCGCAATTGGCGTCAGGAAAAAACAAACCGTAAGTTTTGCTCTCAACCCAAGACAGTTTCCTTCTTAAAATGTCTTTCCAGAAATGATAGATAGATAGATAGATAGATAGATGGTAATTAGATATATGTACAAGCATCCCAAAACTGCTTTTGCGTTTAGGGTTTCCTCGTGACGGCTTGCCATGACTGCGCGGAAACTGGCATGGCGCTGGATTGTTTTCATCCCTTTTGGGCTTTCGGAATCTCGGCTGCATGCACCCCTGCAGCTGCAGAATTAAGCATACCTTGGGGTGGCGCACATATCACAAATTACTTTACATCGATCTATAAGGCATGTTTTTGATTTATAGTTCTGCAAGAATCTGTTTTGTAAGACTGTATGTGCACCCCAATCCAATCTTTGATATGGGGTATCTTTTGAAGATGGAACAGCCAAACAGTGTTGAAATTAAATTCATCTCGGGATTGGTTCTGGGCATCCTGTGCGCCACCAAGATCAGCTATCCCCATATGAATGTAAGTAATGAGACAGTGATAAAATGTATCTTTCCATGGCCCGTTTCTGGACAGTTGCGCCATGGCACTTTACTGCAATGCGCTTCACGCGCCCCAGCCATTTTTCATCACCCCAAACATGAAAAATTCTAGGGTTGAGCTGGTTGGTAGCTACATCCTGTGCCACGTGCCACAAGCAATGGTGCTTTGGCCTGAGTTTGAAACACATCAGGCGCCGACGCCAACAGTATCCAGCTAGGATCTGAGTAGATTTCAGGTGAAGGTGTAGCATCTCTGAAAAGTCCTTGGGGCAAACGCAATCCACCGCATGTAGACGAAATCAAATGGGAGAATTGAAATCGCCCAAACAAGTTTGTAGCTGTGTTCAATTTGTGGACCTATGCGCCTATGGTGGATCAACATGGTTGGAACTTGGGACCAGTGAAACCTTTTCACTATATTATATATCGGATATATAAGAAAAATCATGCATAGATCGGCCACCAACACAATAAGAAAAAAGGTAAGCATGAGATACGGCTGCGACTCACAAGCAACGGATTAAGTTTGATGTGGTTATTCTGCATTGTGTATTTTTTGGTCCAAAGGCAGCATGCATGGATACATGGGTTTAAGTCAACTATGACAGCATCAAAAAGTTCAACCCTGGTATATCCACCGTGGTTCTGTAGCTTCATCTCTGGTCATCACCAGACCGCTGCAATCCATGATTTCGATGGCTCGTGCCAAGGACCAACAGCATAGCTGCAAATGGAGCACAATGGGGTCTTCCTTGGATTCTTGGTGACAAGGATTGATTTGTGGTGTTTGTATAGCCTGAAAACCTTTAGGAACTCTCATACCATGTGACATTCAAACATTTTTTGGATGGTGATGGAATGTGGCACTCTAAGATTCATAAACCAAAATTTGGTTGGTGACAAGCTTGTTTAATCAAAAGGAACGGGAGAAACAATAAACAGTAAAATAGATGTCAGTTCCATCATTTGAAGGCGTTGCATGGTTTCAAGGGTTGCAGCGTGATTCTATTTTTTGCTGGCATATCGGTGCAAAAGGGATAGATTAACCCATTCAATTGCACATTTTTAGGGTTCGAATGAAATCACATTATCCTTGCCCCAAAGAGCTTCGCACATAAAAACAATAATGTCAACCCCGGACAAATAGACCATGGTTTGTTAATTAGGGGATACTCTTTTAATAGTCATAACCTGATATATACTTAACTGGTACCACCCAATCAAACAACCTATGGGTTTTGTAAATCCAGGGTTGACATTAGTGGTTCACTTTATGTTGGGTATCGGAATCCTGGGTGATTTCCATGACCTTCTTTGCAATCCACCAGACCATGGTCTTTACGTGCTGTGCCTTGAAACGTGATGATAGCTCGCAATAATCATCCCGACCGAAACTTCCAGTGTTTGAAACAGACAGCAGCCGCCGGGGAAGATAAAGCCTTACTATGCCAGTGGGCCAATGTAGAACAAGATTTCAAAGGTACCCCCAATTAAACCATGGCACCCTTAAAACAGACAGGATGTGAACATTTGATAAGACACCATTCCCAGTGATTTTCATTTGGGGTGGCCACCAAACTAAAACTTGGAGTATACCAAGAAAGCAATTTGCTCAGTAACTTGTGATCTTTGCAATCCTGTTTCATCTCCATGCTGGCCCTTTGCAAGAATTTGTCATCGCTCTCACCCTCCTCATAATGATACCCCAGAACTTTCAACAGCTTCAAAGCTGATGGTACATGGTTCCTCGCTACACCCAGAAAAATCAAGTGCATCACGTCATAGGAGATGTGCTCAAATTGGAACCCCTCCGCCTGAGCCCAGGGTGTAACTCGTTTGGCACTCCTCAAGTAAGCCGAATGGTCCCTGCAAGTGGACGTGTATGGGGCATCATTGGAGAAGTTCTTGTAAGTCATAGGGTGTGCAGCCGAAGTTGTTGGCTGAATAGCTTTGCAACGGTCACACATTTTTTTGCACTGGTAGTTTTCCGCCAGGAGGTGGCATTGGTATCTAGCTTTGAGGTCCGCTTTGAAACCAAACCAGCATAGCCTCAATCAATCTCAACATATCTCAACCCAAACCCTTCTCACATCTTCTGAGGTAAGTTTAGGACATGAGCCCCTTCGGTGGAAATGTGGAAAAAACACTTTGCCAAAGTAAGCGAGAAACTTGTAGTTTCCAGCTATTGTTTTCCCTTTCAACTTGTCCCTGTACGTATTCTTCTCAAATTGTTCCCCATAGAAACCCACATCAGGATACCGGCCCAATGAAGCGTGGCGCAGGGACCACGCAACGAGTTTAGCGATAGTCTTGTTGACACCATCTCGAACCTGAGACGTGTGTAAGCTGGAGGCTATAGGCCGCCCACTTGTGTAAGAGGTGCCATCTGTATACCAATATCTTGATAATGTCAACCCCGGATTAATAAACCATGGTTTATTAATTAGAAAGGTACTCCCCAAATAGTCATAATCTGATACTTAAATGGTATTTACCCACTGAAACAACCTAGGAGTTTATTAATCCAGGGTTGACATAGTTGACAAAACAGGGCAGGGGCAAGTTTGTCGGAGAATCAGACTTAAGTTGGGAAATACAGCTGACCCATATCAACACCCCACTGCAAAACACAATTTTTTTGGGCACGCAAAAAATGCCAAGTTTACATTTGAGAGTCTGCATCACTCTTCATTTGGCGCTCTGCTGTGATTGATATAGGGTAGCGGCTTACTAGACAGTCTTGGTTTCCACCAGCCCCAAATACTGAACTCCAGTTCATGATGAAAAATTCATCATCGCGATACATTTCAGCACCATCACCATGGACACAACATGGTATGAGGCACTTCAACTCTTCATCAGAACAGGAATGGAGTACAGGATGGTGCTTGTACTCCGACAATGTTTTCGTATGGTTCCAAAAGCGCAAGATGGAGGCCCCATCATTGTGTCCGCACATCATACCATGGAACTGTCAGGGTTAAGTGTTTAAATTCAACAAACTTGAAGCAACATATAATATATCGCTCTTTGGTTGAAACATGAAAGTTTTTGCCCCACCTGCCCTTTATCCCTGTCATACAAAGCTCCAAGGATCTCATGTGGCAAGAGCACACTCGCTGTGCACTCCAAAGGATCTTCGTTGGAATCTACCTGAATGGCACCGCGACGCAAAGAAGAAGCAGCTGGGACGCAAGAAGTGCAGGCAAATCCAAAATCTCAGTGGCCCCAAAAGAGTACCAATAGAATCGAGATGCGTGAAGGGTGAGTTTGATTTGATATGGCTCAACATGAAACTTGTAGGCACCTTTAGTCCAAGTCCAGAAATCACGTTCTGTGTTGCTCTCATGTTTGCCGTCGGCCCCACAACTGGCCAAATCCCGGATTCCAACTGATGATGTGCCGAAGTCAGACTGTATGGTTCTAGCAAGTTCAGCAGCTGTGCTAATGTGGGTATCCCCTCGACCAACCAACTCCATCAGCTTGTCCACTGTTGCTTCTCCCGGGGCCGGTCCGAACCTTTTCCTTTTCCGGCTTCGGCCATGGCCTGGCTGGATGATAGTTTCTAACCAGGATTTTCTTCTGGCTAAAATGGTGGCTGATTACTTGACAGGTTTGTTTGGGTTCCGACATCCAAGAGTTTCAAGAAGAAAACCAAACATGTAAATATAATGCAAGTAAATCAAACACTTCATGTGTAATCTTCCCAAAGGGGAACTCTTTGATGGACTGGGGAATGTCAGAGAACAGGATTACCTAGCATTGTGGTTGAAGATGCCGTTCATGCGATTGGTTTCATCCGGAACAGGTGATGTATGATAGTGGCAACCCTGGATGAATATACCCCGCTGCGTACTCTATACAGGAGGGTCCTGGAAACAAAATGGAATCACCCGCGTGAATTCACCAGGGGTTGGATAATCTTAGATAATGGATAATCAGAATCATGACAATGTCATTGGCTCCCACCAAACCACCCCTTTGTAACACTGGAGCTAACCAGTTTGTCTAGCCTGGGCCATATTCCATTTGTATTTCAATGAGCTAGAGGTTACTATTTTCAATCATAGCTGTAACATACATCGGTTTGAAAAAACAAGTTGGTTTCCATTTGATCCCGCCTCTTTGATTGAGCCCTTCCCAGACACCAGTTTTCACATTTCGATGCCACCAATCTCACGATTGAACGGTCCATGTTGACCCCTAAGCAAGCTGGTTGTGAGCCTGCATGGCCAACACCCCAAGATATTCAAAATCATCTCTTCTTCAAGAGACTTCTAAGATGACTTCTTTGTTGACTTTCCTTTGGCCTTTGCCTTGCTCTTCCCGGGCTTCTTCATCATGGCACTGGCAGATGCCTCAGGTGATGCTGATGAGAATCACCCACGATGACTTATCAGCTACAAGGACTGGGTTAGCTTGGTGCAACTTTGTATTGGAAAAACCATGCGTAACCTTTTTGAACAAACCCTGCCTCAGCCTTTGAGAACCACGCCATCTTGACACTGATCTTCTGAATCAACTTTTTGACAGCTGCTTCATCAGGATTTTTGGAATCAAGGGTTCTTTTGAGATCTGAGTAGAAGGTCTCCATGGAAGCCCCATGCTTCATGAGATGCCCCGAAAGCTCGGATGCAAATTCCAAGCCCTGCAGCTGGATGCTTTTTGCACGTGCCTTCGTGGCCTCATCCAGGACCTGCGGCACCAATGCATTGGCTTCACTCAGCAGAGCGAAGAGTTTGCAGAGGAAATGGCGATACTTGGAGGATATGATATGGGGACACTTGGCGTCTTTTAATACTTGGTTGTGAAGTTAAAAAAACCCTATATATAGCCTTAAAGTGCTTCGCGCCATTCAAATGTTCCAACATCAGATATGATGTAAACTTATATAAACAGCACGTACGTCTCACTAAACACAATTAACAACTTTATTTTCGAGTAACATTGTGAAGTTAAAATGTTTGTTAACATTGTTGAAAGCGTGTTTCCTGGCTTTGGCATGGGACATCATGGGACCACAAGCCCAGTTCAAGAGTTCAAGAGAGGTAGAATGTTCGAGGTTTTGAAAAATGTTGATCAGTGCATGAGCATGACAGTGCCAAATCAGACTTTGTGAGATCCTTTGAACCCAACAATCCCAAGCAATGACCAAAAAATATCAGCAGTGTGAAGTAAGTCACTTGCTGTTGGACGAGATTATCGAAATGATTCGAACTGTGAAAATGTAAATTTGCATGGAAACCTGGGCAACACTGTTCAATCTGTTTCTGAGTGAAAGACTCTAGCAGTGTCTTCGGCGTCACTTCCACGGTTTCTGCTGCTTTCTTCGGCTTCTTTGGCTTCACGATGTTTTTGTTCTCGTCATCCAAGGCACCCATGAGCGCCTTGACACCAGCCTCCGAAGCTGCTTTGATTGCTGGCATGGCACCGCATGGAAGAGGACCGTCTTCAGCAGTCAGGGCTGACTGCAGCTCAGCGTTTACCTTTTTCCTGGCAGATAGGTTGGCTTTTTCTCCTGTGATGTCATCCTGGCGAACCACCCTTCCCTTGGGCATGTAGATCCAGAGCTCCTGATTGCATGAGTCAGAAACAAATTGGGAGACTTAACTTGAAACACGGCAATTGAATATGTGGAGTCATCTTTGAACTCAGCAAGATTGGTGTGAAAAAAATGGGTTGAAACATCTATGTCCTACTCTTCATTAGCAGCAACTGGGGAAAGAACCAGGAGAGGCAGCTAGGAATTCAGTATTGGCATTAGCAAACGTGTCTTCAAAAGTAGATTTGGCTGGGTCTTTCAAAACCAAAGGAGTTCTGGGCAGCGAAAGTTTGAAACGAAATCTTAGTATTGAAGAAGGTTGCAGCATGTTTCTAGGTCACCCCAACCCTGACAGGAGACATGCCAGACACTAAATATATGATAGATGCCCATGTGAAACAAGCATACCATATTGCCATATTGGTGGTAACTTTTGAATGTATTAGAAGGCCAGCCACCTTCCCCACACCTGTCCTTAGGATCTTCTGGAAAGTCCTCGTCCGGGTAGGTCAAGCCTTGCTCTTGTCTCTTCTTCACTATCTTGTCCAGCTTCTCAGAGTCCATGGTCTTCTCAAGTTCTTTGTACTGGACTGCTGTCCACTCTTTCCTCGACAGGTTTCGCTGCTCCTGCCACCTCTGAACCTCAAAGCTAACCCGGTCCCAGTCCTCTTTGTTGTCAAGCCACAAAGCAAAGATGTCTTGTTTCTTTTTCTTCAGGAATGGGGCTAATGCCCCTGGCAAACCACCAGCTTTGATCTGGCGGTCAAACTTGTCCCACTCTTTCTTGCAGGTGGAACCTTGGCTGCCCGACAAGAACACCAGCATATGTACAATGGAGCGATGGTTAGTTTGAAGATGGGATTGCTCTATTAATAGCTGAAAAGCAGAGTTGGAACACCTCACATCTTTTTGACAAAGCTCACATGGAATGTGGAAGAACCAAAGAAGAGCAATCTCAAAACGAGCAAGTGCTGGAAACAAAGTCAATAGAAATGCTGACAAGCAAACCTATTGTAAATTCGACCCAAGTCCAGTGCAACCCAGAAACTGTTTCGCACCTTCTCCGTGTTGCTCTCTCCTGTTTTGGCCACTGCTGCCACCAAGGCTGTGCTCTGATCCTGGGTCTCCTTGTCCTCTTGGTCCGCCTTCTTCGTCGAACTTTCCTCGGTCACTTTGTCCTGGTCGATCACCTCCGGAGCTTCGGTCTCCTCAGCTTCGGAAGGGCTGCTGTCTTCACTGTCGGTTTCTTCACCACCATCATGTTCATTGCCTCTTTCTGCTTCATCTTCATCAGCATCCCCTTTTCCATCTTCTTCATCATCATCATCATCCTCGGGGTCGCTGGCTGCTTCATCTTCTGTTTCTTCTTCTGCTCCTTCGTTTTCTTCCTCCTGCGACTCGTTGTCGTCCTCACCTTCTTCGTCACCCTCTTCTTCCGAAGAAACACCTAGTGTTGCGAGAATTTCGTCAGTATCTGCCGATCCCGGACTGAGAGCTTCCAACTCCTCAGCCACCTGAACTTGTTCTTCGTTGTTTGGTTCCTGCTGCGACTTCTTCAAAGCATCTGCCTCTGCTGTCTCTGAACCTTTCGCCTTCGACTTCAAGTCCTCAAGTAGGTCCAGCATACCTGCCGCATCCATCTCTGCGTGCAACTCTGCATCAGAAACCGCCTCCTCTAACTTCTCGTACAGCCTCTCATGCATTGCTGCTGCTGACCTTTCCTTCTTGCCTGCGTAGTGGTCAGTACTGGCATCTGTGGCTTGGCTGCCGGCAGGAGACTTCATTCGAAGTCTTTTTGCCGGGGGCGTCACAGGTGGTGGAGTGCTTTCCTTGGAAAGCGCCTTCTGCAGCAGTGCGGCCTTTGGACTTGGTGTGACCTCCTCCTTTTCCTTCTTACTATCCTTCTCTTTGCTGCCCTTCTTCTCTTTCTTCAAGATCTTGTTGTCCTTTCTTACCTTCTTCTCTTTCTTCTCTTTCTTCTCTTTCTTCTCTTTCTTCTCTTTCTTGGTGGCCTGGCTCCCTTTGTTCTCCTTGGGCTTTTCAATCTTTTGAGACTTGTCCTTGTCCTTCTTCGAAGACGAGGATGTCGTAGAGGAAGAATGCCTCGCTTTGCTGTTGGCTGCAGTGGCTCGCTTCAACACCTCGGCTCTGAGTTCCTTGGAAGTCTTGGTGGCTTTTTTCTTTTGATCCGCCTTCTCTGCCTTCATCAAACTCTTGGCAGTGTCTTTGCTCTGCTTGGAACTTGACTTTGGCTTGTCACCTGAGCCTGACTTCCTCAAAGCAGACTTGCGGACTTTCTCTGGTTTGGTTCCTGCATCCCTTCCCATGGTAGCTGCACCCCAGAAAACTGCAGCAAAGGTGAAAGGTCTAAGCAAAAACCTCAGGAAAACTAAGATTTGCGCCCAAATTTGAGCTGCGCTGCACTTCAGAAATATGAAGATGGATGTTTCAAACATGGTTCTACAAATCGCACGGATTCTCGACAAATCGCACGGTATTCTCTCCAAATCGCACTAGCCAACTGGAAGTGTTTCATACTTTTTTTTGAGATAGTGTGGGCTTGTTTGGGTAGGACGCTTGGTTTTAGACATTTCTTGGTGTCCCTTTGTCCCACACTCCAAATAGTCCCACCTGTCACATCATCAATCACCCCAGCGATTCCCAGTGGCTGGCCTGCGCAGCTTTGGGGCAAGCATCTTTTGAGCACCAATCGTGGCATAGTCAAAATTTTGGCCCATGAGCTATGTGGTCTAAATTTACCTATCGAATTTCCTGTCCTGGGCCAAAATCAGTTCATCATGTGAATGGAATGAAGGTAGCCAGTGTGACTCTTTTGGATGGGTAGCGCAAGTTCAAAACTTTATGGTGCATGTTTGGGCCAAGTTGGGTCTTCAAAATAACATGTTGTTTGGATGAAAATAATCTTCGAACTTCCAACCCTCTGTTTGAATTACCTGATAAGGGCTCTCAAATTGAATTTGTTTGGATGCAAATAGTCTTCCAACCCTGTCTGAACAGGAATTTGTAAGTCCTGATAAATCCTGATGGTATATGGGTCAAACGGGCCATAACCTGTGCAGGCAAGACAGCTTTCCTTCTCATGTGCAGCTGCCGTTCCCCCATGGCAAACTAAAGTTCGTGACACAAAAAGCCTCGTAGGTATTCCACGGGCGCTCAAATGATAAATTTGTAGGCATACCCTACTGTTGCTTTGACAGGTATGTCAGGATAGGTCGAAGATCAGCATGATCAACCCAGAACTTGTGGACTTTCGCCCTAGTATCCAAAGAGCCCGCTTTATCCTGCAGTGTTCCACGCAGGAATCGGCGGGCTTCGGACTTGTGCTTCCTGAAGTGCTTGGTCCTGACCTTTGCAAATGCTCGGCCGAACCTGGGCTTGTCAATGGGTAGGCGCTGCAACTTGCACGGGCTTGAATTCACAGTGTTTCGGGCACCCAAAATGGATATATGGTGCACTAGGTGTAAATCAAGCTGTTGTAAGCTTAGCTACTTTTTAGATCCAACAGAACAAAACTCCGAGATTGAATCAGGAATCCCTCCACAATTGGGAGCAATGCTAGCTTTCAACTTGTGACCTTGATTTTTCAGTGTGACAGCTTTGGTTTCACAACTAAACTCAAACATGTTTGGTTGACCTGCGAAGGATCCAAATGGATATAACGTATGATATATAGTCCCGGCATTGGCTTCACCATTTGAATTTGGATTCAAATACATCAAAATACTGTTTGGCCAGAACACATCTTCGGGTAAGCTTGGGATGCCTTCATATCTCGGCCACCTTTAATGCGGTCGACCCCCTTGGAATCCTTGTAGTGGATCACCATCTCTGAAGTCTTTGCCGGCACTAGCGATCGGTTGGCAAAGTTGTTCACATCGTCCGCTTCAGGTTTGCCTAGAGGACCCATATATATAATATATATATATATGTTGTGTACGTAGGAACGGAGATAAATGAACATTAGTAAACATCCGCAAAATGGAATGCCCATTGTACCTTGGTGAAGCTTTGGACCTTTGACTGTGATGCTTGGGAGGCAAGAGAAAGTTAGAGACTCAACACATTGTCCCATGTTGTGAAATCGCAGGGCCCAAACCTTGTCGGTATCCTGAAAAGAGGGTTAGCAAACAACCCTAAATGGCACATATATATGTTACATATTGTTATATCAAAACACTTGTTTTATGGTCAATTGAATTTGAGAACTCTTCCGTTAACCTGGGAGAGTGGAAAATGGACTTGGCCATGTACACACTGAATCTAAACTGCGCTGAGAGAACATGGGGATAGTCAAACCACCGAGATACTTGAATACACCCACAAAGGTTTCTGCGTATCTGCCCCAAACCAGCAAAGAGATGTAGTGGTCTTGGTGACCTTGACGCAAAGATTTTGGAGAATTTTGAGCATAGCCTGGAACAAAACGTGTCCTTCAAGTAAAGATCCTTTTGGTTGCTCGACGCGGAACCAAATTGCTTTGCTTGCTGCTAGTAGCAGCAAAACAACGACCCGGCCCACCATGATATTTCCCAATCGGGTGCTGTGCTTGTTGGAACCCATTGGATTCATGCTTGATCGCTTTGTGCTGCCACGACTCCTTGGCTGGCCAGCCGCTGCAAGGATCGACAGACATAATTTGCCTAACATCGCTACTGTGGGAATCTGAGCGTCCCATATCCAACAAACAGGTCCATATATAGGTCCATATATATATATAGATTTTTATTAGATAGATAGATAGATAGATAGCTAGATAGATAGATAGATAGAAAGATAGATAGATAGATAGAAAGATAGATAGATAGATCGATAGAGAGATAGAGAGATAGAGAGATAGAGAGATAGAGAGATAGACAGATAGACAGATAGACAGACAGACAGACAGACAGAGAGATAGATAGATAGGTAGATAGATAGATAGACAGACAGACAGACAGACAGATAGATAGATATCTTATATATATATATCTATCCCTCTCTCTCTATCTATCTATCTAATCTAAGCTAAGCTAACCTAATCTAATCTAATCTACAAAGATATGTATATACACATATATTTATATATCTGCTATTTACGTAATTTTCTCTTTCTCTCTCTGTACATGTCATCGGGTATCCAATGTTGTCAGGTTGTCCTTTCCGGAGTAGCAAAACTACAGATGAAAATTCAAAAACGAAGGTACTCAAAAAGTCGACATTTTGAGGACATTCAATTTTGGTTCTGACATGAAGTTGTCATCTAGAATGAGATGAAATTTCAAAAAAAAATGTACTCAAGTTCTGACATGTTCTGACATAAGGTTGTCATCTGAGGAACCCCGACTCCGCCGCCTGTGGAAAACTTGAAGTTTCGTTGCTATGCCGCTATGCTGTACTTTTGTAGCTAACAAATAACTCTTCCAAAATTGTAATTTTGGTGTTGGTTTGGCATTGCCAAAAAACAAAAAACAACCCTTTCCTTCGCGGAGGCTTTCTTTGGGGGTTTAAACATCTCAGATTTTGGTTGCTGGGGTGATTGTCCATATGCAGGATGACAAAATTTGATTCAGGAAAAGATCGTATACCGAGCTTCACAAAGACCCAACTGGAACATACCGGAGCAGCCCACATGGCTGCTCCGGGCTTTAAGTTGAGGACTTGGTACATCATGTTGCAAAATCCCGTGTCTGACAAGATGTCTTGGTCAGGGCCAAACGCAATATCCATTGCAATGCCGCTTCGGGACTCCTTCCAGAAACACGTACCCCGAGAGAGGTTCAAAGCCTTTCATATTTATTTCTTGAAGTGGGTTTCTAAAAGGTTTTGGGATCGGGCCCACAAAAGTTTGAACGGAGAAATTTCAAAGAAGGACCCATAAAGAACATGTCTTGGCAGGCAATAAGGTAGATGGCAATTTGCCACTTTGCTTTGCCCCGGAAAACGGACCCCACCAAGTCCCCCGAAAAATAGCTTTTTCCTGAGTTTTCCAAAGGAAATTTGATACTTGGTGGGGTCCGTTTTCCGGGGCGAACCCAAGTGGAAAATTGGCAAAGGTAGAGGGTCATCATTGAATAACAGCATCTCAATATAACCACCATCCCAATGCAAAACAAATTGTTTGACATAGCCAATGCCGAAAATCATAACACACCTGTGCTGTTACTTCCAAACCCTTTTTCCCGGTGTAAATGCATGTTGCCATCACTCCTCCCACTCTCCCTTGGTAATCGAGCAGACACCGGCAAACAGCTCAACGTGATCCGTCGGCTCGTTCCAACTCAAGTTTGGGCAAGAGAAAACAAGGTTGGCTAGCATCATGACCACCTTTCAGGGGAACAGGGGAAGTAGGACGGACCTGGAAGTTCGACCATCTAACCCTCTTTTGAACATAGCATGAAGCAAGTGGTTAGCTATACCCCCTTTACCAAGAAGTAAAATAAGAATGAACAGGACAGGGCTTGGTTGTATATGTTCTCATATTGGTAAAGGGACTAACATGGACTAACTAGGAGAAAACTGCTTATTGGTTTGCCCGTATACCAATGTTGTTTGAACCTGTGGAACCAAGGATTTTGACCTACGCACCAGCGGAGCTTTCATCGCACGCAGCCCGGCAGCGACCATTACCCGCTGCTTTTGCTTCCATGAAGTAGGCATCACCTTGGGCTCATCCTTTTCAGCACGGTATGGCATTTGAGCACTGGCCTGCTTTACCTTCCTGGGAATGCCTTTCACCATGACTATAGGCTTTACACAAGTTCCAAGAAAGATCGGGACCCCAAAATGCTCCATTTGAGCCAGAAAAAGGATGAGGCTTGAAGGCTTCTTTGTCGCCATGAACATGTCCAGTCTTTCCGGTTTGGATCTGACGAAGGTATTGCTTGGCGATATCTACCCAGCTTGTAAACCCAAGTTTCTTATGTGTTCAGTTCAACTCAGCAATATCATTTTGAAGTTGAATGGGACATATTGAGTTTCGACACTGTAGTATTTATTACTGTTTGGTTTTGATATCCAATTTGCAGGTCTGAAATCCAAATCCCCGTTCCAATGGCCTGCGCTGGCAACTTAAGGTAAAGACAAAGGCTGCTGCGACACCTGCATGGATGGGCTGCCGGACCGCGGAGCTGTACCATGATGTGTCTTTGGCAAGGGCAACATCGAGGTGGCTGAGATTGCAAATCATAAGTGTGTTTCAATTTGTGGGTGTGGGGACTGTCGAAAATGAAATTCGGCCGCTGGAACATGCTTTTGGGGTGAAAAGATTACACATCCAAACTATTCAAAATTTTAGTCCATCCCATTCTGGGGTGGCAATCGGTTGCAATCCCGCCTTAAGAAAGCAAACAAAGCTGCGTAGCTGGCTGCCAGATGTTTCCTGGAAACTTGAACTACAGGATGGAATTTGCATACAAAAACCAAAGATTCTTCTAATTTTCCTGCTGGTTTGGCACCCCAAAATCTGACCCCCACAACTCTACCCTCAGTAACCTTTTTCCTACAGGTTTGCTACATGTTTAGTTGGTTGTGGGGGTCAGATTTTGGGGTGCCAAACTAATAGGAAAATTGTTAAAAGATTCAGTTTGGTGATTGTCGAAGGCTTCAAGATGAAACCCGCATTTTTTGGTCAAAGGGTCAGTGGTTTCATCACATGGCTTGTGCAACATTGCACAACATGTCCATCACATGCACATGGTTGACTCCGGTTTTTTGCAAAATAAGTTGAAAGTTGAAACTGGTGAGAACCCAGCACAATGCCTTGGCAAAGATGAGCTGCGCAAGCAGAGCGTAGCACCTGCGTGGATCTGAGGATGATACTATCGATCTTCTGGTTTGCTTCGATATCTGGGGCAGTCTTGCAATGGACGCATGAAAGCTGGAGGACTTTTGCCGTTCCGTGCGTTCCACATGTGATCCCACATGTCCACTACAGATTTAGGAAAAGCCGCAATAGTCTTGATTGCACCTCCTGTGAATCCAAGCACTGGTTGGGAAACCAACTAAGACTAAAACAAAATGATTTAGAGTGACAAGGTTTCAAATAGAATTCAGTTTTCCTTTACGGTGTGACATTCAAAATTTGGTTCACAGTAGTTGCCTCCCAACCGGCCTACCCTGAAAGCTAGAGACGCTATATTTGCACTTCCCTTTTTGTCAAGAAGTGGTGAAAGTAGTAAACCCAAATCCCCAAAGACTCTAGCACATTGTGCGCAGAGCCAACCCGTTTTCAAACAACTGGGAGGTTCAATCTTCAGGCCAGTTAGCACTTGCCCTGGCTGCTTCCCACGCCTTCTGAACAGAGCCATGTTTCTTCCAAGATACCTGCCCTTTGCGACAGCCTTCGCCACCGCCAGGAGCCACGCGCTTGACGACAAAGGCATGTGTCTTCAGCAAGACTTCGATTGCCTCAGGACGGACATGGAGGGGATTGACCAGGTGAAGATTGATTTGGGATGAAGCCTGGTCTTTCTAAACTTGTTAGACATCACTTCTCAACCCTTGGAGATTTACACTTGGGGAATCTTCAAGATGGAAGTCCGCTGAAGTTGAAAGATTATATTTGATGGATCATGTCGTGAACAACATCCCAAATTTTAAACGGGTCCGCATTCAAGGAAAAAATCTTTTGATGTGAACTTTTTTACATGTCAGAGTGACAAAACATAAGGGATGGCCAAAAATTTTGAATCGCGACAAAGCACTGATGAATTGCACTTGGACACAACTGTGTATCCATGTGCTCCATTGTTCACCCTAGATTGTTGGGGCCAAGCGCTTTGTGGGACTCCCAACTTGCATAGATCATAATCGCGAAACATTCCATCAGAAGAAACTTTGGGCACCTTTTTGGAAGGTTCTGAAGGTTCACCATCACCACCCGACTGTTCCTCCTTGAAGCGTTTCATGCCCTTAGCCTGAGCTGGATGGGAACAATAATATCTAACTGCCGTAAAACTCAGTTTGACAGGGATTGGACTTGATTAGACTGGCCTTCCATGATGTTGGATGGCGAAACTGTTTCCGAAGAAAAGAAACCGATTTTGGGAAATTGAAAAATCGTTTGGAAAAACATCTTAACTAATTTACCTTCCGAAAGACAGTCTGGATACCAACGCTTTGACCTGGCAAACTTGACTGTAAGACTTTTGGCACCATGAGATCGGCCGATGATGAAAGCCGAGCAAGCTTAGGGATCTTGCCAACTTCACCCTTGTACTCCTTCCCAACCCCCTTCTCAGCGTTCTCCTTGGCAATCTGCAAAACCTTCTTGACCGGATTCTCCTCCACCCCGGCCTCACAAAACCACACAGTATCAACTCACTTAAAACCATGGATCCCCATGCAAATACTTTGCTAGGAAGATAGCAAAACCTACCAACAAACACCCTCACCACCAACACAGTTGAACAACATTGCACAGATGCGCAAATTGCCAAGCCTTGGCATTCCTGACCATTTCGGCCTCATGCTTCCGTTGAAGGGCAGCTTCAGCAGCCCGGCCATGAGGGTGCTGTTGCGTGAGCTCCGCATGGGAAGTTGGCGAGAGATCCTGCGCAGAAAAAAACAAGTTTACAAGCTTTGAACATGTGAAGTGCTAATTTTCCACTTGGGTTGGTCCCCCAAAAAAGGCCCCCACAAATCTTTCATAAAATGTGCCTTTTTTGGTGAACCAACCTAAGTGTAAATTTGCCAATGTGAAGCGACCATGTATGAATTTCTGCAATGGCCGAGTCAAAACTTAGTTTTTACAAAAAAGAATCTTGTTGGAACAACAGAAAGGAAAAAGTAACACGATGAGCTCATGGTGCCTGCTTACCACCACCTGACTTGAAGCGATCCAGCCAAGCACACCAATGTTCCCTGGTGGAAAGCCACCCGCTTGCTGCGATTCCAAACCTTTGGAATGCCCACTCGCAATGACGCATGTAGACCACGACTTCCCGGTGCCTCAGTAAGTCAGGCCATTGGCGAATAGAAGCTTCATAGCATATGACCCTTACCCCATATGATAAACTTATAAACCAAATAAGTCGAGAAAACCCAACAACCATAATGCTACCGATGATACCTTGCAATGTCTGGATGGGTTCGGGAGATGTATTGTAGCAAGGTAATGCACATCTCGGTCAGGTCGTTTGGTGAAAACTGCTTTGGAACTTCAACGGGTGTTGAAAAACGATCTTCAGGTTCAGATGTCTTCTCACGTTCTGGGGTCTGAAAGGTCTGTGAATCCTCAACTCCACCAGCAATGAGCGTAGTAGCTTGGGACGGCGATGTTTCATCATCATCATCATCATCATTATCATCCTCACTGGCATCATCATGACCCGTGGACCCCCCTTTCTCAGTGCCACTCTGGCTAGACCCAACCACATCCTCTCCATCGGAATCTTGGAGCGACTCACATGACACCTCACCTTGCTCACCAACCCCAGCATCCCCTTCCTCGTCACCACTGGCCATAGACTCCGACTCCGCCTCTTCCTGCTTAGCCGCTGCAAGGGGTTCAGCCGCTTTGGCCTGCAAGCCAGCCCCCTTATGGGATGAAGTTGAACTGAATGTCAAAATGTTTTGTGTTGCAACATATATGGTGGTCTTGTTGGAAAAGTTCGACGTGTTATATAGTTTTGTGCCAGAAAAACCTGTAGAGTCACAAACTGGAAACACATGGCCTCGCCTTGGCCCTTGTTGGGGATGGGAGCAAAAGAGATTTGAGTTCACAAATCTTGGGATGGCCACCGGTGTTGCCTGCAACATGCTGCAAAAGCGTTTCAACTGGTTTCAACCTAGGCCTAGGCTATTTAAAAAACTTGAAGAAAAACAAAAACGAGTTCAACTACCTTATAAGGCTTGGTGGGTCCGATCACAAAAACAAATACCTCAGAACAAAACATTGAAGTACTGGAGCCAAACTACTGGATCTCCATAGACCCCGCAAGGCGCCAATCAAAAGCTTGATTTTCTTGGCTTCGTTGCCAGCCAAACTTTGTTTGGAGTCCCCTTCTTCAAGCGGACAAAGCAACGTGGTACCCCCAACAGAGAAGATCTTGTCAAGCATCAAGAACACGTCAGTGATGAAAAACGAGGAAGGTACTCGATCCCGAAATCTTTGAACGAAAGGTTTTACCCAACAGTGGTTGAGAACCAGGTCTTCACTACCGGGGCGGGTAAGGGTATCATCTAGTTGCACCAACGCCCCACCACGCCACTCTGGACCAAGCACTTGCGCAACACTGATAGGCAACCCCGTCTTGAGACTAAAAGCCATAGACCTCACATCAGCTGCCTTCCATTCAATTTTCCCTGGACCTTAGATGAAACAAGCCAATCAACTTCAAAGAGGCCAAACTTGAAAAACAAACTCGCATATCCAAACGTTTTCATGTTTATCAAACCAAGTGCAAGTGTGAACACCATTTTCAATATTTCTGTTGTGGTTGTTCAATCCTAGCGACGTACGCTTTTCCACGATTGCATGGCCATGTGGAGTTGTCCATCCGGAGATTCATCCATGGTCACACTTGCAAAGCACAGCACCCCCCTTACAACTTCAACAGCCAAATGGCTAGGGAGGATAAATGCACAGAAAGAAAACCATCCGTGAACTTGGCAACACGCCTAGCAACACAAGTATTAGATCATAGATTCCTTCCATACTCAGCCCAAAAGTCCGTCATTTGGAAATAAGTTCGACCCTTTACAACTTATAACCGTATATTTCCTTGAATGTCAACACGACAAATCAAGCCTCCCGATATATCTTTTCTGTTTGACATGCCTTGACATACAAACAGTTGTGATCGCTCCTTTGTTTCCATGCGTTTCCCCATGCTGAATCCATCTTGAAACGAAACCCGATGGCTGCAAAGCGCTGGGGGTGGGATGGCACCTGCAGGACTTCTCAAACGGGAGCATGCTGTAGACGGCAGCTCATGGACGAGAAAAAGAATTCACTCCAAGCTTGGGGCACGCAGTGGTGCTTTTTTGGGATTGAAATCCACCGGTCTGTCATTGGGAAAAAATGGAATCAAAAAGGATTGTTTTTTTTTCACCATACAGGGATGTACATTTATGTATATTTCTTGGGTTTGGTGCATGCCAAAACCATCGATGTCATCCCTCCCTGTGATTTTTGGGGTTCCATGACCTTTGTATTAGCCAAATGGCTTCACAGGAAATCAACATATGGGTGGTATAAACTTTTAGTGGCAAAACCACAAACAAACTAATGTGGTAAACCCAAGAACACTAAGAACACTCCCAAATTCACCATACATGGGTGGTAAAAACAATGACCAGGTGTTTATTTTTGGTTCTCCGATATTACATACATTATATATTTGGATTTAAGCATTGCATGCTGGTTGTGGACTCACCCAATTTTTAGTTTTAAACCCATGCAATTTCCTCAGATAAAAAGACGTCTTAATTATAAATATTGGGGTTTATGCGCCATGACCCAGTCAGCAATAGGTCCATGTTTCAGTTGCCTGCGAAGAAACGGACTAACATGATGTATGCGACCCGAATGTAATAAACATTTAGATATGTATTTATGGTGTGTGTGTGTGTGGGTGGTGTGTGTGTGTGTCTTGTTTGTATTTAGATGGATACAATACAAGTAGTATATAGCCGGGCAAGCCGGAGGCGGAAGTTTCAAAAATGAAATGCTCATAGGGCAGAAAACAGAGCGTGCCAGGGTTTGGGCATCGGCCCTGCAGATCGCAGAAGCAATCTCACCCGCATAAAACGGTAAAAAGACTTTTTCTGCTGACAAACTGCTTGCGGCACTGCTTGCTGCGTGTCTGGTTTCTCCATAACCAACACTGCTTTGCCACATGTGGCAGCGGAGCAACTTTCACTGTTGATGCCCCTTGGAACCTCGACATCTTGAAGTTCAAACTTCATGCGCGCATGGCAATTGTTGCCCATGGCATGCAGATGCATTGCAAGATATTGCAAGATAAGAGTGTTAATTTGCGGAAAACTTTCCCATTACAAACAACAAGGTTCTGCTGCAAACAACATGTGACGTTGTAAGAAAGCAAAACGTTGCACAAAGGACACCATTCGACCCTCTAAGTGGGGTCCTGAATCCATCCTCCTTTGATTGCCGAGAACGGGATGATCCTTGGTGAAACGATCTGTCCCGAGTCAGTTAGTCGACCGCCATATTCCACCATCAAGGTCTCGGTCGGGATGAACAAGCAAATGTAGTCCCCCTTGCGCGTATCAACGCTCTTCGTTATGGTCCATGATCTGTGATCCCATGGCACATACGGGTTGAAGAACGTGAACATCCGATGACCTTCTCCAAGACCTCCTGGAATTAATCCCTGCCTCCAAATGCTTCGGAGGTTGGTCTTCTTGGTGATGTGAAAACAGACCGGTAATGACAGAATGGTGTTGGGTGCTATTGGATGTGAAAGCAACGAGGACAGCAATGAAACGTCGTCTCTTGAAGATCCTTCTTTGTGCCCCGTAGGAGCACGGACCGCCACTGGGTAGAGCAGTAGACCTTCATCAGGGATGTGCGTGTCCGCTTCGACATTGTTGTCAATGCACGTCAGGCTGCGGCGATCAATATCCTTGTTGATCCCAAATGCCAAGACTTGTTCACGCACACGACGTCCGTACCGGGCACAGTGGAACATGATCTTGAAGAGCAATGTCATGCGAAAGTTCGCCTCACTGACATTCCATGCACTCTGATCGTTTGCTCTTCCTTTTGGGGCAAGGAATACATGTGGCCAGCGTGCATACTCGTGCCTCCAGATGGACTCACACTTGAGCACCTCCTCGATGGGCACCCAGCCGGCGTCATCGCAGGGCAGACTCTGCTGCTCTGATACCTTCCCCACATTGTGCCGTAGGATCCTGTTTAGTGAGGTACTCACCTTGTCCTCATAGGTGTCGAGTCGGTTGCCAGTTTCGAAGCGGTAATTGGCCGCATATTCTACACCGCCAAAGTAAGAGCAGTTGAAGAAATGGGCCCCCGTCGTCGGGATGATTTTCAAGAAACCATCTTGCGGCGCCTCGACTCGTTTATAGAAGGTCTTCCTGATGTTGTTGTCAGAGTAGCTTGCCATGAAGTCTGGCACTGACCAAGTGTCGCCTCCTCCTCTGACAATAGCGTCTCGGATCACTTCGTTGAGGTCAACAACGTTCTGTGGTCCCAGCTTTGTAACATCACGTCCTTCGATGCAGAACCTACCATACTCATCGAGGTCACCAACTTCAGACATAGTTCTGATGCTGTCATACCACTGGTGTTCACTAAACCTCGGTTTTGTAGGTTCATCTGTTTGCCCCGACCCTTCAGTAGCACCTGAACCGTCCTTCTTGTGCTCAGGAGGCTCCATATCGACGTCATCAGATGTGGGACTATCAGCCTCAAGCGACGCTCGGACGGCCTTTAGCACCTTTCTGACTTCATCTCTCTTCTCATGTTCACATTCAAGATGGCCATGTTTGGTGCTACCACAATACAAGCACACGTTGACATCCTCAGAGACAGTGAAGAGTTTTCCCAACGCATCCAAAAGTTGTTGTTTCCCGGAAATCTCTGAGTCCCTGACCACATCGGTGGGATCGTTTGCTGGCTCATCAGCTTCCTCCTCCCCAGGGTGAGCCGACGACTCGTCACCTGGCTTGGCATCGGCATCAGCGCCCATGCTGGCATCATCCCCTGTGATGTTGTTCTTCCTTCGATAATGAGAGAATACCTGATCCTTCTCCCATTCCGTGAGGCAGCAGAAGTTGGCCAGCGATTCATATCCGGGGATTGCGTGGATGAGCTTCATGACCCTTTCGGCTTCTGCGGTCTGCAGTGTGCAGTCGAAGGATCCCCGTCTCTTGTCATTGATGGTGCTCGAGGTTCTGGATGTCGATGTGAATTGAGCCAATGCCTTTTCCAATCCATTGAGATACTCAGCTGGATCAACACTGGCATTGAAAACATCAACAACTCCTTTGGCCATATTGGCCACATCCAAGACACCAAGCCAGAACTCGATGATGTCTCCAGTTTTCTCGGCAGATGCACGGGAGAATCCAAAGATCTCGTTCCTCTCCTTCACCTCGGGAACGGCGACCTTCTCGAAGAAGTCTTTGTATGCGACATTTCCGCAATCCTTTGTGACTCTGTAGATCAATAGCCACTTCTTCGCGACTTCATCAAAAACTCTTTCGCGATAGATGCTGAATTGCTTGCCGCGTCCGTTCCGGAAAATTTCCAGAGCTTGCCTCTTCGAAATTCTGACTCCTCCCATGTGAGATAGAGATTTCATCAAGTGCTCCCCATACGCCAACGATGCATTTGAAATCAACGAAGACGCAGTAAATGTGAGCCAAGTTTGAAATCCTTGATTGATGTCAACAATGTCAACACCAAGATCCTCGAATGCAACCTTCAATCTGGCCGCAAGGAGTAGGACGGACTTCCTGGCCTCCAGTGTTGGAGCTGAACGCTTGTAATGGTCCTGGGTATTGGCGGAGCAATTAATGCAATGGGTCGGTCTCGACTGGCATGTCTCGACCTCATCCATCGTCACCGCATTTCTGCAGCTTCCGCATAAGATGTCGGAATTCTCCTTGTCGATGGTGAACCACATGCATCGATCGGAAACAACTGGTTCCAGCTCATGGGTGCCGACTACTGGTTCAACCCAACTGGTCTTGAACCTCTTGTCCTTTGTGAATCTGTTGACGGCGGTTCCAGGGCCTCGCTGGAAAATTGTTGTGTCATCATTTGCATAGTCACCCGGGGTCATTTCGCCACTTGCAATCCTGAACGCCTCAGTCGGTCCAGTCATATCCTCCAACACTTTGGTGTTGATGCCAGATTCGTCGGGTTTGAATGCCCCCTCGTTGAGGACGGATACATATTCCCGGTTCGTGGCACACATGAGGAAAACTCTTTGGCGAAATAGATTCTTCTCGATTACAGACCAAATTGCCGTCTTTCCCAAAGTCCCCTTCTTGGTCGTACTCAATATTGGATATTGTTTTCCAAATTGTGAATACATCGACCGCCACATTCTCTGGTCCGATGTCACCAAGATCCCTTGGAGCCTCATCTTCTCAATCAGCTCATCTGCGAGTCTTGACGTGACAGAGTCCATACCGTTGAACATGGAGTCATTGTTGATGGCGACCATCAGGGGTCGGGATGTGACTTGGTCAAGATCGAGCACCCCTTTGACAAACTGATTCTTGAAGTCGTTTTCAAGCATGACACAATGAGGTGGTTTTTGTTCATGAAGGAAT